TCCTTCATTCTGCAGCAGCTCCAGTCTTTCCTGACTTTCATGATCTTGAAACATTTGAAGATTTCAGGCTAGCTATGTTGTTACAATATGATTAGATTTGGGGTATATATCTTTGGCAGTATCACAGAGGTGATGCTGTGTTCTCATTGTATCCTATCAAATAGTACACAATTTTCATCTGTGTCTTTAGTGGTGATTTTCACTTTATTACAGTGGTGTGTCTGCCAGCCTTCTCCACTGTAAAGTTGTTCTTTTTCTATTTGCATCAATAAGAATTTTGTGGAAAATTACTTTGAAACTATGTAATATTTTGTGCCAAATCAAACTTTCAACTGATTCATTTAATTTATATTAGTATGTACTCACAAATTCCTATTTTATTCATGGGGTTATAATCTGATAGAATGACTATTTTTATGTTCAATTTTTTAGATTTGTACAGTGGAATCTGCTTCAAGCTGGTGTCTGTATCCTTTTGACATGACCTTTCTTTGAGCACTTCACTGGTTTCTGGCACAAGATGTCCCAGGCTTATCTTGTACTTTCTGTGTCCCAGTCCTGAAATCAGCCATTTCTCTAAGAAGCCTTAGTTAGTTTTAGTAAAAAATGGTATTTAGAGTTCAAGACCTAGGCAGTAAGTATTCTTATTGCCACTGGGAAACCACTGCTCCTTCTCAGTGGACAGAGCTAGAAATGCATGTATGCATATTCCCACACACATAATACATATGTATATTTTATATTATATGCATTTACATATATACACGTTATGAATATGTGTACATATATAAATGTATATAATATACATATATATAAATTATACATATATAATCTACACGTATACACGTTTACATTTTACACCTTTATCAATGTATCTATCTATTGATAGTCATGAATTCACACTGATACCATCAATTACAATCCAGCACCACAGGGTTCATTCTGGTTTTCGCCCTTTATTTCCTTGATAGCAAAAACCCTGGGTCCTATTATCCTTACCAGACTACTTACATGATCAATCCTCCTGTAGGTAACTAATCTCCTGCCGCTACCACACCTGTCCTCACAGAGATGGATTCCTTACCCCACTCGGGCTCCAATCTTTGTGCTGGTCTTCTCCCCCTGCGTGGATGCCCTCCATATGCTGACTGGGCTCTTACACCGCATGATATACTGTCCATTTCAGAGAAGCCCTTGTCACCCTGCTCAGCTCTGAGACCCTGCATCAGGCTGCCCCTCTGCAGGAGCACCCACTTCACTGTGTTCAGACTTTAACACTGCACACTGGGCCGCCCGCCTACACGGACTCCATCTTTGCCTGGCTCAGCTTCTGATACCTTGTTCTAGGCTCATTAGACCACCAGGTGAAGATGCCCCATCCCTCCTCTTCCCCACTTGTGGGGCTACACCTTCAGGGAGAGAAGAGAAGAGAAGGAGAAAGGCAAGGAGACCTGGAAGAGGAAGAGTCTGTTGAACTAATTCTTAACAAATGTTTATATAATGTAATTTTAAATGTGATGGTAAATTTAGGGTAAAAATCGAACGCATCAGATTCATCCCTATTAAAAGTGGGCTTATCATTAATCTATTCCTTTAAACAATTTCAATGTCTTTATAGGTTAAAAACTGTTAAAGTTTTCTACCTAAACAACCATTAACACAATATCAGGCACATGTAGGTGCTTATATTTGTTTCAACAAATATCTATTACTAGGCAGTTGGTGTGTGTGACGGGAGGGGTGTTTTGTGGAGGAGAGGGTTGATCAAGGAAGCATATAAGACATGTCCTCTAGAAATCAAACTGTTCCCTTCAAAGGACTCAATGCAGAGTCAAAAGATTTTTCAAAAGATAAAAATAACGCATTCCACCAATTTGTTCCATGCAATAGTAATAACAGCATGTTTAAATATTCCCATGCACGTAACACTTCTCCTTTACAAAGACATGTTACAGTGCTTATATTACTGAAATAGCCTCAGAGTCAGGATGGGTCCCCGAGCCTAATTTTATTGCAGGACTCAAACTCTGTCAGCATGCCTTTCAGCTCAAATCAGTCATTTAGATTCACACACTGTGCTTGCTCCCTGCTGGCGGTTCCAAACTTCCATAGACATTGAAGTGCAGGGAGGCAACCGACTATCCTGCATTAGAAAACAGGTTCTGGAGTCAGACTGACCAGTGTTAAATTTCCTGCTCCAATGCTTAACTAACGATGTTTACTTGGGTAATTCCTTAACCTCTTTAAGCCTCAATTTCCTCATCTGAAAGTCGAAGATAATAAAAGATAACTGATAAGGCTATAAACTGCTTAGAGTAGTGCCTGGCACATAGTTATTACATAGTAAATATGATAAAGTAACTATTTTTATTATTAAAATTTGGCTCAAAGTCTTAGCTTACAGAAACACCTATCTCCAAGTAGTTCGAAGCCCCTAGATAAAAAAATATCTAGTAAACGTCACAATATTCTTTAGCAGAAAGGAAACTGAATCTCAGGGAGATCATAATGACCCTATAAGACAGAGTAGAACTGCCCCATAGAGATTCCAAGGAGTGGCTGGTGGATTTGAAACACTGACCTTCTGGTTAGTAGCCAAGCTCTTAAACACTGCGCCACCAGGGCTTCTGTGGAGATCAATACAATCCAAAAAATCAGCTGAAGTTGCCTGACAATTTTTTACTCTGCCTGAAAACCAGATGCTAGTTTCATGCCATGTATATAACATGTTATACAATAATTTTAGCTTAAGTGGAGCTATAAGGACAGGACTTATATACATACACAGACATTTGCTGCCCCAACCCTCATATATCCCATTTATTTACACCTTCACTGGGCTCCTCAAAGAAAGGCCTGACGATCTACTTTTGAAAGATCACAGCCATTGAAAAGCCCATGGAGCAAGCAGTTCTACTCTGACACACACAGTGTTGCCATGAGCTGGAAACAACTCCATTACCACTGGTTTGTTTTTTGGTTTTGAGATATATTTCACGTGTTTCCTGTTTTTTCTCCCTCCTTCTTCTTAGAGATCTGCTCTGGATATAACTTGCACTCTCTAGACCCACATCATTTTAGAGCAGTGGTTTTCAACCAGGACTGCACTTAGAATCACATGGGGAACTTTTAAAACTCACGATGTTCACGTTGAATCCTAGGTCAATTGAATCAGAATTTTTGAGGGAAGGACCCAGGTATCAGTATTTACATACAAGTTGAGAACCAAAGAGCTAGAACTAAGCCAGAATGCATTGGTCCTCAGAACTAAAATATTCTGGGACACATGGTGGAAGAAGGGAGCCCTGGTGGTGCAAGGGTTAAAGAGCTTGGCTCTAACAGAAAGGTCGCAGGTTCAAACTCACCCAGTGGCTCTGTGGGAGAAAAGACCTGGCGATCTTTCTTGGAGATTACAGCCAAGAAAACCGTATGGGGCAGCTGAACTCTGTCACATGGGGTCATCATGAGTCAGAATCGACTCCATGGCACCCAACAACAACATGGTTGATGAGCACAGAAGAATCAGGGAGAGCCAGAGAGGGGAAAATATCCTTGTCAATTCTTTGTAAGTGGTATGAATAGAAAGGAGACATGCTGCTGGGCAGGGGGAGAAGGACATTTAGAAATCGAAGCAATTCAAAATGTTTCGTCTACACTGTTAACAACTAGGCCTTTTAAGGGGCATTGATTAAAAAATGAATAATCTTATGCTTTGATTACCATTCCTTCTTTAGAGTATGTTCTGAAAAATTTAAATGCTATGAACTCATGAAAATAAATTAATATGAAAGGTTGAAAACCTTGTGTAGAATAATGTCCCAATTTTAGTTACTGGTGGCCAATATTTGCCAGCTTCAGAGGTGGTGGTGGTCTATTAACCTAATTGGCTGCTAACACTTTGAAATATATAACACAAGAACTTGCATTACGAGGCTGATTAGATGGGATACTTTCAACATAAAAAATACTTTTACTTGATTACAAACAAGTGAAGCTAAAATGGCAATTTTGGTGTTAGTTACAGTAACGTTAGCGCACATAAATCCCTCTGTCGAAGTGTCTTAAGCAACCAACACAAAAACTTTGTTTTCCATGGTGTAAAAGAAGATAAACACACACACACAATCCTATGAACTGTGGAGGTTTTGTTTATGTGGTTGATTTTTGTTATAATATTGTCTTGGCTCTAACATCCTCAAAGCAAACCCACCTGCCAGGAGGAACAAAACAGGCGATATGTAAGCCTTATTAACGATTCAAGGAAAAGGAGTTGGCCTTGGGGAGAGTGGCTTTCAGAAATCATGTCACAACAGCAGATCAGCAGTCGCTGCCTTGCTCCTGCCCCCACCCACTCACCCACCTCCCTAACCTTCTACCTAGGAAAACCTGATACAGTCCCCACTCTCACCACTCCCCACTTAAGGGGAGCTGTTCGTTTCAGATTCAAGCAATGGAGCGGAGGAGCCCCGCCGCCCCAGTCCCCCAGTTTAGCTTAGGTAACCCAAGTTTAGTCAATGGGAGGAGGCCGCGGCCCGCGGCTCCCCACCCGCCTTCGCCAACAGCCAGGCGCCTCTTTTCCCCCCGCCCCGGCGATGCCCTCCGCTCGCGTGCCCCTGCCCGCGCGCCCTTCCCCTCCCCAGCCCCTGCACCCATCACACCTGGGGAGATGCCGTCCGCCACGCTCGGGCGCGCCGCAGCGAGTAGGCACAGCAGGAAAAGAGGCAGAGGCGGCAGTGCCGGGGACCCTAGGGGGCCGGGGAGGGCGCACATGGCGACAGCGGGTCCGCCGCGGTCCTAGCGGGAAGCGGGCTCCTCGTCACGCTGCCTCCGGTGCCCGGATTCCCTACGCACACTCGCCGGTGGCGGGGCGCTCGCTGCGAGTGCAGGGGGCAGGACCCGGGAGAAAAGGCAGGTGGGAGGGGCTGGCGCCTGGGCCTCCTCCCCCGAGAAGCGCTAGCCGCGCGAGGCCAAGCCAACGCGCGCCAGTCCCCCCGTCAATTATGCAGCGCGCCGCCAGCTGCGGACGCCCCCGGATGTACGGTGGCCACCTCCGCGCCACATCCCCTCCGGCCTCCGCCCTCTCGGCTCCGGCCTGGCTGGGAGCGACTTTGATGAAGACGTAGGGCGGGTGCTGCCTAGCCTATCTCCTGGGGGAAAGGCGACACTCCTACTACATATATTTATCTCTACGACGCTCTGAGTAGACTCCCCTTTGTAGTTATCTGAGGCAGGGTTCGTGTGTTTACTTTGATGGGACAGATAAGAGCATGGAGGGCACTTTTCTGCTCTTCCCGGACACCTTTGGGTGTCCTTATTAATAAGAAAGCTTATTGTAGCGCTGGAGTAAGGCGCTGTCCATCCTGCCCGACAACCTGAATTTATCTTTCTTTGCCGTGTGTAGCAATCTCATGCACCCGCCCCTCCAATCTCTTAAGATTTAACCGGTTCTCTCCGGCATAAGGTTTCAGAGTCCCAAGGCCCCATCCTGAAAACCCGTTGCCATCAAGTCGATTGCTTCTTAGGATTTCTAAGGAGCCTGGTGGATTCCAACTGCCAACCTTTTTGGTTAGCAGCCAAACGTTTAACCACTTCGCCAGCAGGGCCCCATAGTGTGTATGTTTTTATTTTCCTTTTCCTTTGTTTGCTTCGCATAACATGCGTTTTTAAGGAGCCACTTATGGCTCAAGAAACAAAACCTACTGAAAGGAGATGCTGTGTGAAACCGCACAAGGATGTTGACCTTCGTCAAACCCTAAGGCTTTTAAGATAAAGCGATCCCTTACTAGCAAGAAAGTGGCTTGAATTTTTCAGTGCTCCCTACTGAAGAAAAGAACTAAAACCTAGCGCTTTATCAGGGAAGAGGAGAGGAATTCACATTATAACATAAAACGGTCATAGGATTCGATGATTCTCCAAGATGTTATTACTCATTAAATATTTTTTTTAAGTAAGTTTCATAAGCTTTGTTACCCCACCGTCTTTATGTTTCGAAATTCAGGTATGATAATCATAAGTTGAAAATATTTCAGTGTCATGAAAGCAAGTTGAAAGAAAACTTTAGAAACACATTTTGAACGTGAAAACGCTAAACATGAGCTCTGGTCACTCTAGCAGGAATGGTTAAGTTTTAATTGGTATGTATTACTAACAGAGCCCTAGTGGCGCAGTGGTTAAAGCGCTTGGCTGCTAACCAAAAGGTTAGCAGTTAGAACCCAGCAATTCGAGCCCACCAGCTGCTCTGCAGGACAAAGATGCGGCCATTTGTTGCCGTAGAGATTACAGCCTTGGAAACCCTACGGGGCAGTTCTACTCTTTTCTATAGGGTCGCTTTGAGTTGAAATTAACTCAATGACAGTGCGTTTGGTGAGTTTTGGGTGTTTTAAAGCCACTAGGTTTTGAGGTGGAGCCCTGGTGGTGCCTTGGTTAAGCGTTTCACTGCTAACAAAAAGGTTGACAGTTTGAATCCACCAGCCGCTCCTTTGAAACCCTATGGGGCGGTTCTACTCTGTCCTATAGGGTCACTATGAGTTGGAATCTACTCCACAACAATGTGGCGGTTCTGCTCTGTCCTATGGGGTCACTATGAGTTGGAATCTACTCCCCAACAATGGGGCGTTAGTTTTGATGTAGCTTGTGTTGCCACAATAAATAAGCTGAACACTCTCGTCTGAACTCATACTGTCTGTAGGGTTAATTTGGCAATTAATAATTTACAACTTTGTGACTTGACCTCTATTGTTGATTTGAATTTCCATTTAAATATTTCATTGTTATTCAGCTTGTTGTGTGATTACATCTTCTTTCCCAACTAGATTACAGCTATTTTTAGTACCTGGAAAAAGTTCTGTAAGTCTTTGTATTTCCTACAGTGCCTTAAAAAATAGTATTTTTAGTATGCTCTGTTTCTTTCTTATTAGAAAATCTGTATGGGAAAATCTTTTCCTTTTTTGCTAAAACTTGCATTTGGAAAATAATGCTATAAAATCCTTATTTTTTTTTTTCTTTTATGGTACAAGTTTTCATTACCGTGGAATTGTATAAGACAGGGCTCTGGGAAGTTGGAAAGTGAGGGTGGAAATGTGGATGTGGGTTACCTATTATTGAAAAAAAATTGTTTTTGTAAAAATTTTGTTGGAGAATAACATATCAGTGGTATATAAGGTACTAAAAATAATGAAGAATTTGCAACTGTTAGTAGAAAATAAACAAACAAAATACAAAAACAAGTCAGAGGATACCATAGGCAGAATTCTGAGACAGTTCTCAAGATTGCTGTCCTCTGGTGTACATTGTACCTTAGAACTTCTAAGTCTTCATGCAGGATTCTTCTTCACTTTTGCTTTTAGGATAATATCCAATCACGAAGCCCTTCATAATCTAGGCTTTAAATAACTCTTTAACTTAGATTTCAACATTCTCCTGCACAAACTTGGTTGTTGTTGTTACCTGCCATTAAGTCAGCCCCCAACTCATGGCAACCCCATGCACAACATCAGACTGTTGTCATCTGTAGGTTTTTCACTGGCTGATTTTCAGAAGTATGTCGTTAGGCCTTTCTTCCTAGTCTGTCTTAGTCTGGAAGCTCTGCTGAAATTTATTCAGTATCAGAGCAACACACGGATAAGTGGTGACAGCACTTAAGGCACATTGCTGGGAATCCAACCTGGGTCTCCCACATGGAAGGTGGGAATTCTACCACTGAACCACCACTGCCGTCTACCCAAACTGCTTATCCTAAAACATTCGGAGTTCCCCAAAACTCTTCTATCCTGTGTGCCTCACTGACTTTACCTCTGCCTTTTTTTTTTTTTTTTCTTCTTCTTCTTTTAATGTTTAGAATAGCTTTGCCTATAGCTCTGCTGCCTTTTCCTCAATTCTGTTTCTGTGTGTTGTTTTCTCTGGAGAGCTTCTCTGATTAAACCGATCAAGAACTTCTTCTCTGACTTCATAGCATCTTGTGTACACTTTCCCCCAACTCTTAATACATGATGCTGTAATCATCTGTTTTCTATCATTTAACTCTGCAGTGCTGAGACTGGATCTGGTTTACCTTTCTGTGCTATGTGGCACAGCATCCAACACATAGCAGTCATTCCCTAACTATATTGCACAGGTGAATGAGAGAATAAATGAATAAACAAGTGGATAGATGTGGAGACAGGAACAAAATTATCTTTTGCTTTCTTCTATTTAATGTGTGCCATCCCTAATGGCAGTAAATGGCAGTGTAGAGTTCAGCCCTAGAAAATCATTCTACATAATAACAACACACACACATCATGCAAACATATATACAATAGCAGAGGTGGATAATCCAATATGCAAGGTAAGCCCAGCGCTTACCTTGCTTACTAGATCATCTGTAGTGAACCACTTCGCTTTTTTTTTTTTTTAACTTTGAACTTGCACAGAACAAAAGAAAAGGCCAATAGGCAATTTCACATTTTTTCACCACATCAAAGATTCTGCTTCTAAGTATGGTAGGCATCTCTCTCCTCCTAACCCCACAGCACCTTACTACAGAATCAAAGCCTCTTTTCAAATTTACGATTCCTGACAGGAGTGGATGATCCAGTAAACAAAATAAGCACAGGCTTACTTACTAATCTGTAGTGAACAGTTTACCCATGTGCTTACCTTGCTTATTGGCTAATCCATGCCTGTACATTAGAATCATGTATGATGATATGAACAAGGGGAATGGTGTGGAGAGATACACACCAGTTAACACTGGTTATGTAAGGGTGAAGGTGAAGAGTGCTGGGGAAGTGCATTAGCCTTACTCTCTGCAACTCAACATTGTTTCATAAAGAATGTATTATATCAAAATTAGGAAACCTTAAATGAAAGAAAAAAATTAAACTGCTTTCTGCAAAAGACAATGCAAAACTACCACACTATGTATAAAGGTTTAATGGTCTTTCACTTGTACATATTTTCATCTGTGTTATAGACAAGCTAAGATTTTTTTATGAGTAGTTTACAAGGAGATAAATCAGGTAAGCAGTATGAAACTCAAAGCTACAAACAGAAATATTTGAAAAGTGCATTTCCTTGAGTGCCCACCCACCTTCCCTCTCCAGAGACCATGGCAGTTATCAGCTGCTGCATTCATGCAGGGATATTCCAAATCAAAGCAATCATTTCTGGAAGCCTATCCCATTCCACACAGAGGGTAGGTAGCATTCTGTGCTCAACGCTCCACACTTAGCTTTACTTCTTTAACAATATGTCTAGTTATTCTGTGTAGAAATTTTTCCTTCTAAATAAAACCTAAAAACCATTGCCGTGGAGTCAATTCTGACTCACGGTGACCCCATGTTTTACCGAGTAGAACTGCATTCCATAGGGTTTCCAAGGCTGTGACCTTTTGGAAAGAGATCTATAGACCTTTCTTCCAAGGCCCCTCTGGGTGAGTTCATACTGCCAACCTTTTGGTTAGTAGTTGAGCAGTTAACCATTTGTGCCACCTAGAGACTTCTTTCCTTTTAAATATTACTCCATTCTCTATATGTTCAACCATTTATTTAACAAGTTCCTAGTTGACTGCACTTACATTGCTTTTAATCTTTTCTATTTACAAACAATTCAGAAATTAATTTTATTATACATTCATTTAATGGCTCATATAAGAGTATATGTGTAAAATACAATGTAGAAATCATATTTCTTCATTAAAAGATATTCATATTTCAAATTTTGATAGGTATTTTCACATTATCTGCCTTGAAAAGTATACATAAGTTCACTTTCTCACCAACAAGGACAGAGCCTGTTTCCCCACATCATTGCCAATAGATCAAATTTTCTATCCTTTTTAATTTGATAAGTGAAAAGTGGCATGCATTTAGAGTTTAATTTGTATTTCTTTTTTTATGAATAAGAGTAAGCATTTTTTAGTATATTAAAATGCAATAAGCAGATCTTGTTGCAAACAACAAAATCTAGTTTGGCTAGTTGAACAAGAAAAATAATCTCTGAAGGTTTATTAGGTACTACTTGGGATTGTTGAAGAAACAGATTTGAGGATAAACTTCTAGGAACAAGACCAAAAATGATGCGGTACACTGGCTTGATATGGATACCACTGGTGGCTCCTCCATCAGATATGAAATGCCAGGCATTCAATGCCCCCACATCCATTATTCCCTCCATCACTGATGCCCCCTACACCAGCCAAATGGGAGGGCTACCCTGCATAAAGCATATTTTGTCATGTTGCTTATCTATGAAAGTGTCTCTTGGTGTGTGTGCTGGAGGAAGGCTGGGTCCCATGCCTAAGTGCTAGCTACAAGAAAAGCTGGTGTTTGAATTCTACCATGACAGGGGAAGGCGGGACTCATGATATGAAAATTCCCCCAAATGTAAGAAGATCTACTTTGTGATTCCCTATTTGGGCTTGCCATAAAACCCAAATGACCTCTTTTCCTACCTTTAATATTTCTAATATCATGGAGTCAGCTCAGTTATGGAAAATGCTGCCAGAACCTGAAGAGAACTACCAGACCTCATGCTTACTTTTGGAAGATAAAAGTTGGAATAAATGTGTCCTGTATTTTGGAGTTGATATCCTGGCATATCCCAGACCTTTGTAGGCCTAATAATTAAACTGAAATGGTGGACCCCTGAAACTTCATAGGACTTATCTCTCACTCACTGAAGTATAAACGTCTTGCCAAGGTCTTTAATCTAGTAGCCACTCCTAGCTCAACCAGCTTGATTAGCATGATGTTATTGATATAGAGGACCAGTGTGATATTCTGAAAAATATTTTGCTAGTCCAGATATCTTCAGAGTACATTATGGCAGAAGGGAGAGAACTAAAATAGTAGCAGGACAAGATGGTGAATGTATACTGTTGTCCATTGCAAGTGAATTTGAACTCTTTCTTTTTTTTTAGATAGAAATGGTAAAGAATACATTGCCAAATCAGTGGATATATACCATGTATGCGAGGCTGTAATAACCTGCTCCAGCAAAGATAGCACATCTGGCACAGCAACTGCAATTGGGGCTACTTGGTTAAGTTTGCAGTAGTCCACTACCATCCTACAGAAACCATCTGGGTTTTTTTTTTTTTTTTTTTTGGATTGGGGGCGTGGATAGTCTGGTAAACTTAATAGGATGTGTTGAGGATCACTACTACTGTATGCTTTAGGTCTTTTAAGGCCTACATTGCCCCAGAATGTGACATAGCTTTGATTTACTATCTTGACTGGTGTTAGGGGATGCTTCAGAGGCCTCCACTTGATTTCCTGTATTATAAATAACTCTTTTACCAGAGTCCAAGAATCTAACTTTATATTGTGCCAAAGCCACGGAAGTCTATTCCAATTATGCATTCAGGGACTGAAGAAATGATTGTGGAATAGGTCTTCACAGCACCAAACGGGTACTCACAGTGAACTACACTTGGACCGGTGTGGTTCATTTATTACCTAGTTCCAGATTATTACCTGGACAAAGGACCTTGACTTTTATTGAGGTGACTTCCCTCAGCCTCCTGATCATCCATCTTTGATTTTTTTCTTTCTTTTTTTCATTGTTATGCTTTAAGTGAAAGTTTACAATTCAAGTTAGTCTCTCATACAAAACTTTATACATGCATTGTTTTCTGACCCTACCCGCTCTCCCTATACTATGACAGCACACTCTTCCTTTCCACCCTAGATTTCCCGTGTCCATTCAACCAGCTCCTGACCCTCTCTGCCTTCTCATCTCGCCTCCAGACAAGAGCTGCTCATTTAGTCTCATGTATTTACTTAAGCTAAGAAGCACACTCTTCACAAGTATCATTTTATGTGCCATAGTCCAGTCTAATCTTTGTCTGAAGAGTTGTCCTCGGGAATGGTTTTAGTTTTGGGCTAGCAGAGAGCCCGGGCACCACATCTTCCAGGGTCCCTCCAGTCTCAATCAAACCATTAAATCTGGTATTTGTACTATAATTTGAGTTCTGCACCCCACTTTTCTCTTGCTCTGTCAAGGACTCTCTGTTGTGTTCCCTGTCAGAGCAGTCATCGTGGTAGCCAGCCACTGTCTAGTACTTTTGGTCTTAGGCTGATGAAGTCTCTGTTTTATGGGGGCCATTTCTGTCTCTTGGGCTAATACTTTCCTTGTATCTTTGGTGTTCTTCATTCTCCTTTACTCCAGGTGGGTTGGGACCAGTTGATGCATCTTAGATGGCTGCTCGCTAGCTTTTAAGACCCCAGACGCCACTCACCGAAGTGAGATGCAGAACATTTTCCTAAAAAACTCTGCTATGCCAGTTGACCTAGATGTCCCCGGAAACCATGATCCCCAGACCCCAGCCCCTGCTACCCTGTCCCTCGAAGTGTTTGGTTGAATTCAGGAAACTTCTTAGCTTTGGTTTACTCCAATCGTGCTGACTTCCCCTGTAGTGTGTGCTGTCCTTCCCTTCACCTAAGATAATTCTTGTCTATTTTCTAGTTAGTGAATACCCCTGTCTCTCCCTCCCCACCCTGGTAACCATCAAAGAATGTTTCGTTTTGTGTTTAAACCTTTGCTTGGGTTTTTATAATAGTGGTTTTATACAATATTTGTCCTTTTGTGACTGACTAAGTTCACTCATCATAATACTTTCCAGATTCCTCCATGTTATGTTTCATGGATTCATCGTCGTTCTTTATCGTTGAATAGTATTCCATTGTGTGAATATACCACAATTTGTTTATCCATTCACATCTTTGATTTCTTTTGATAGTACAGATTAAATATCCTTTTTGAATGCCTATCTATTTTGTTTTGGGGTACCTTGTTCTAAATATTCTCATAAATCCCTGTGGGTCAGGACCGTTGGATGCTGCTGCAAAATTGCCCTTCATTATAGTAATTGCATCCACTCAACTTCTTATGGTTATGTGCCATCATTGAGCTTCTGATGTTTCAGATCACCCTGTTACTAACAGTGAACCTAGCTCTATAATGGCCTCTCCTATCATCAGTCCTGATTTAAGGAGGAGAGATATCATTGAAAATTCTTTATGCTTTATAACTTTGTTAAATGGTGTATGTATCTTCCAATGGAACAGTCTGAGTCTGATGGTGGGTTTTCTGGTTTAGCATACACAAATCTCTGAGCCTTTTATTTTTCCCTTCCACCATCAGCCATGAAAATTTCCATATTTCTCCATATCTCTAAGAACTATCCTATTCGAGTATTTTCACAATCTCCTTGAGTCCTTGACTAGGCATTAAATCCTTTGTCCCAAGAGAGTGCTCTGTAACATAAAAACTCTCCTTTACTCAACTTTATATTTTATTATTCTCCATCTTCATTCAAGAACCCTCAGGATCCAGCTTCACATATACTTCTTCAGGTACGTGCTAGAAATGTGAGTCATTTGCTCATACAATTTACCTGAGTCTTCAGGGCTAAAGCTTGGTCACTTTCTTTATTGTTTTACTTCTCAAGTGTATATACTTAAATATTATAGTTTGCTTCTTTTAAAGGCATATTTTTTAAGTATCTTATTGTCTTTAGATTTTCAAAACATAACCTTTTTTTCCTTTTCTAATTTATTTGTTGAAAAAACTGGATCATTCATTTTGTTGTTTTCCCACAACCTGGATTTTGTTGATACCTTCTTGGGGTGTAGCGTAACATTTTCCTCCATCCTCCATAATTCCTATAAATTGGTAATTGAATCTAGGGACTTAATCAGTTTCAGCTCCCTCCCCCTTTTTTTTTTGACAAGATTATTTTCTAGGTGGTGGTGTACCCTTTTTCCAGAGACACGTAATTCTGTTTTTGTGATGTTTGCAGCAGTTGATACAAATTGCCTAGATCCACTGATTCATTAGGGATTGCAATAATGTATTCTATTTTTATGATTTATTCTTCATTTATTTACTGATATTCTTCTATAAAAGAGAAACTTTTCCTCCTCTACTATTTGGTTAGCCAGTGATATAATGAGCACATGAAAGGAAGAGAACATGCTTGATTCTTTTATTTACCACTGTTCAAAAGAAAAATTGGCTCTATGTATCCTCCATGAGTGAGAGATTATATATATATTTATATGTTATATATAATATATATATACTTTTTTGTGGAGGTGGTTGAAACATTTCAGGATTTCATACTGATGTCTCAAATTCAGTTAAAATTCAGAACTACAGAATGTTTATTTAAATTCTCTGTCTTAAGTCTGTATCTTCACCTAATCCCTATGGATTTTTAAGGAGTAAGAAAACTAGGAAGGGTAGAATTTGCATAGCACACAAACACACACTAAACACAAAATATTCTTGTAAATATTCAGTAACCCACAATATGGCTACTGAAAACAATTGTAACAGCCACCCTATTCTTTGCCCACTTGTTTTTGTTTTTACAGTTGTACAGTTTAAACACTCTCAGAACATGTGGTACACTTGGTACTCTTTCTCCTATATTCCTTTCAGCTATAGAGATTTTAAGGAGATAAACATCACAGTATTAGACTTTTGTGATTTTGTTAACGTTTAACAATACTTTTCTTCAGCAGTGCCTATTAAAGAGAGTAAGAAAGGAACAAAATCTGTGTTGGCAGAGGACTAGTTCTTCAAGCAAACGAAGGTTAGATTAAGAAACTCTTGATAGAGCACTACTGTTGATTATTTAAGCTGTTTTATATTAGACTTTTCCTCAGCATTAACTTTCACATTTTTTTTTTCTTTGTGGCTAATAGAACATTCCAGTGTACCAGTAGAAAAAAATATCACTTTAGAAAGGTCTTCTAATATAGAACTCACATGCCAATTCATAACATCTGAGGACTTGAATGCAGTAAACGTGACTTGGAAAAAAGATAATGAAGTACTTGAGAATAATTCCCTCATCAATGCAATGTTAAACATCCTATATACCCAATACAAGTGAGTAAAAATTGTAACCTGTTTTGCTAGCAAAAATTAGTTAAATTCTAAATATTTCTGCTGACCTGGCATTCTTTCCTTTGCATTCATTTGAATGTTAGGCGAATTCTCCACATACTTACGTAAATGTTTCTCTGTGTTTTTAAATTTTTGATTAATGGATAAGTCTTTTCATTTTCATTAAGAAGTTTTTTTTGAGAACTAAGCCTAAATTAATAATCTGAATTACCTTTAGGTTCACAGTCATTAATAGCAACCAAATGGGAAGTTATTCTTATTTCTTTGGAGAAAAAAAAGAACACAGGGGCACATTTCATTTCAAAGGTCAGTACTAATAAATTGTGGAATAATAACTTGAGTATTATGATCTTAGAATTCTAAATTCCCTGAATTTTAAAATTATCATTACAAACATAAACATAATACAGCTGAAAGAAAATTACATGCTTCTCATTGACTCACGAGAAGAGAACTTGAAAATGGACCTTCCCAGTGTTTTACCCAGTGGGAGAGCAGGCAGCTTCCAGTCCACTCCCACTCCTGCCCCCATTTCCCATTTTAAAGTACAGGTTTTAATTCAAAGGGTTGGGTTTCCAGGTTCTTTGTAAATCATATCAGTGTCTTGAACTAATTAATTATAATATACTTTCAGATTTCTGAGTTAGTGCATCTCCCAGACTTTGAGAATATGGCTCCTAGGCTTAGGATTTTAGGGATACATACCATTTAAAAATAAGTTGAGATGCACCAAGGAAGGCCTACTTTTTTTGTTTTTTTCTTGAAGTAAGGACTTTAAAAAATATACACAAATGCCAGAATATAATCCACGGCTCTGCCCTGTGAGGACAAACAAATCAAAACTATCCTACTATTGCCATCATTAAACCAGAACATTGGAAGTTCTCAATCTCATAATAAAGCCAAATTGTTTGTGTTGGAGAATTATGTTTATGACAAATCCATTATTTTGTGCTAGGTTAGTGAACCACTGTTCATGCTGGTATTTGGGAACTGCCATCTGTCCCTATATTAACTACTTTGGTTTTTGCATCACATTAAATCTTTCCTTCCCTCCCTCCCTCCTTCCTTTCCTTCTTCCAGTGAGCTAAAAGAATATTAAACACATACACAAGCACAGCCCAAAATCTCAGTAATATTTTATTGATACTCCATTAAACATATAAAGAAGGCCTGTAGGTCCTGAAGAAATGCTCACCAAATCTTGAGACTTAAAGTACTTCTAGGAAATTCAACTTTAAACTTTCTTTTTTACTTTTAGACAGCACTGCTGTCTTAGTTATCTAGTGCTGCTATAATAGAAATACCACAAGTGAATGGCTTTAACATAGAGAAATTTATTCTCTCACAGTATAGTAGGCTACAAGTCTGAATTCAGGGTGCCAGCTCAAGGGGAAGCCTTTCTCTCTGTTGGCTCTGCAGGAGGGTCCTTGTCATCAATCTTCCCCTGGTCTAGGAGCATCTCTGCTCAGGAATCCCAAGTCCAAAGGAAGCTTTTTGCTCCCAGTGCTGCTTTCTTGATGGTATGAGGTCCCCCTGTTTCTCTGCTTGCTTCTCTCTTTTATATCTCAAAAGAGATTGGCTCAGGACAAAATCTAATCTTGTAGATTGAATCCTGTCTCATTAGCATAACTACCTCTAATCCAGCCTCATTAACATCGTAGAGGTAGGATTTACAACACATAGGAAAATCACATCAGATGAAAAAATGGGGGACAATCCCACAATACTGGGAATCATGGACTAGCCAAGTTGACACATATTTTTTGGGGTACACAATTCAATCCATAACAACTCTTCTCTGGAAGGAGTTCTATGGGCACAGTGGTTAAGAGCTCAGCTGCTAACAAAAAGGCCAGCAGTTGGAATCCAGCAGTTGCTCCTTGGAAACCCTATGGGGCAATTCTACTCTGTCCTTTAAGGCTGCTATGAGTCGGAATCAATTCAACGGCAATGGATTTGCTTTGGTATTGGCCCTCTGGAAATGTGTACTAGTCATGCCTCCTTAAAGTGTAAATATTGAACATACTACATTTTATCTTATTAGGTCTCTATTGTAATAATTACTTGAATTATTATTTAGAAGTGATCATTCTTGCCTCTAATGTGAAGATTAATAGCCACGTTTTACTTTTCAACATACCAATAAATTTAATTCCAAATATTCTTAGGGAAGTCCTCTTGATTTCTTACCTATTTTGAGATAACTAAGCTGATGGTCTTGGAAGAAGTACAGCCAGAATGCCTCTTAGACAAGAGGATGGCGAGACTTTGTCTCATGTTCTTTGGACACGTTATCAGAAGCGACCAGTTCCTGGAGAAGGATATCATACTTGGTAAAGTATATGTTTGGTGAAAAAGAGAAAGACCCTCAATGAGATGGACTGACACAGTGGCTGCAAGACTGGGCTCAAACATTGCAACAATTTTGAGAATGGCGCAGGACCGGGCAATGTTTCATTCTGTTTTACACAGGGTCACTATGAGTTGGACCCTAACAACAACAACAAGAAGCAGATGCTGGCTGGTCTCAGGAACTCTAAATCCAGGCATAGGTTTTAAGTTCAAGGAATGAAAAGCGTCACTGAATATTACCACTATTATTTTTTTCGTTTGGTTTTCTAGCTTGCTTGAAGTAGTTCAGTTCAGTTCATTAGTTTTTGATGCTCACTTAACATTAATGTGAAGAACGGGGCATCAGGATTGGAGGAAGACTCATTAACAACCTGTGACATGCAGATGAAACAACGTTGCTTGCTGAAAGTGAAGAGGACCTGAAGTACTTACTGAAGAAGAACACAGACTTCAGTATAGATTACACTTCAACATAAAGAAAACAAAAATCCTCATAGCTGTACCAATAAGCAACATCGTAATAAATGGAGAAAAGATTGAAGTTGTCAAGGATTTCATTTTACTTGGATCCACAATCAATGCTTACAGAAGCAGCAGTCAAGAAATCAAATGACATATTGCATTGGGCAAATCTGCTGCATAAGACCTCTTTAAAGTGTTAAAAAGCAAAGATGTCACTTTAAAGACTATGGTGCGCCTTACCAAGGCCATGGTATTTTCAGTCGCCTCTTATGCATGCAAAAGCTTGACAATGAATAAGGAAGACTGAAGAATAGTTGATGCCTTTGAAATATGGTGTTGGTGAAGAATACTGAATATACTGTGAAATGCCAGAAAAACGAACAAATCTGTCTTTGAAGAAGTATAGTCAGAATATTCCTTAGAAACAAGGATGGTGAGACTTGGTCTCATGTACTTTGGACATGTTATCAGAAGGGGCCAGTCCCTGGAGAAGGACATCATGTTTGGTAAAGTAAAGGATCAGTGAAAAAGAAGAAGACCCTCAATAAGATGGATTGACAACAGTGGCTGCAACAATGGGCTCAAGCATAAAAACGATTGTGAGAATTACGCAGGACTAGGCAGCGTTTCATTCTGTTGTACACAGGGTCACTATGCATCACAATCAACTCAACTGACCTAAGAACAGCAACAAACATTAATGCAATTTTTAAGCATGCACTATATCCTGAATATGTTTATAAAACTATGTAATAAATTAGATCCTTTCAGGTCTTCTTTAATAAAATAGTTCTTCTCTGTAATTCATCTATATTGAATATTGCTTGCAGAAATAATTTCATTTTAGTCCAATTTAAAGGCATCAGTAGAAGAATTCATATTGGGGTTATTACTTAATTAGGTCTGCCAGGTATATAGAATAGTGTGTATTTTTATAAATATTCTCCTTTTATATATACTTTCTCCACACTCGCTGCTTCTCGTTTTTGCTTAAAAGAGGAATTATCTTTCCTTAGCAGCACTGGAATTGAGTGTGGATGAAAAGCCTGTTTTATCTTCATTTAAATTGTGTCAAAAAGAAATTCTGCTATTGAAAACGGGAGTCAAGTATAGTGCATTAGCCTGAGTCCTCAGAACTATTTCATCAGCAAAGTCCCTGCTTCTGTCTTTATGGGAGCTGGTTGATTTATAACTGTAAGACTTTAGAAGGGCCTCAATGTCACTGATTAGTACGAGGCAAAAAACAACAACAACAACAGCAAACAACCTGCTGACTTTGTGTGTTTGGCTGTCGATGCAAGTACAGGGAAGTACAAAAGTGTATCCTGTAAGCTTGGAACTGCTTGCATGTCAATGATTACTTTCAATCAGGAAAGATGAGTAATGGGTTACAATTTTCTCAGTAGTGAATCGAATAGTATGAGGCCACTGCTGAAAACTTCCACAATATTCATCAACATTAAAATCTCTTAGTAGAAAATATACAGAAATTTAATTGGTAAAGGACAAGTGGTTGGACTTGGAACTTTCTGGAAGTCATGGTGAGATCTAGATAGTATCAGGTGCACTAAAACCTGTCTTGGCACAGCCGTTCTTCTTCACTGGGAATATCTAAGAGCTGTGGAAAAATAGCAGAATAGAATCAGCTGGGACTTCTGCCTCAAATCCCAGTGTTGAAGTCCAGTTATATGTTTTTGACCATATGAAAGAAACTTTTCCTAATTTGATAATACCTTAATATGCTTGACCCAAAAAAGGACATTTAGGCCTACTTGGTCTAGCTCATGAACACTCAAATATAAATCTCCAAACTTTACCATTTCAGGGGGCTTTCACTTTCACTGGATAGATCCTGGATCTTGTCTAGACAGTGGCCTGAATCAGCATTTTCACCATGTTCAAACCCAGATTTTTCCAACTACAGGGCACTCATGTATCCTACTTCATCCAGAGTTTGAAAAACTCAAGGGGGCACATGAGAATACTGTATCACCATCCTTATGATAATAGATATTTACAAACATAATCAGTGGCCCAAAACCAACCTTGACCCTTAGAGTAGTTCAAATACATTGCTGTCCCGTGAACACAGTGTTGTTGCTGTTGGGTGCTGTCGAGTAGTTTCCAACTTATAGTCACCCTATGTACAACAGAGCGAAACACTGTCTGGTCCTGCGCCATCCTCACAATCATTGTTACGCTTGAGCCCATTGCTGCAGCCACTGTGTCAATCCATCTCCTTGAGGGTCTTCCTCTTTTTTGCTGACCCTCTAGTTTACCAAGCATGATGTCCTTCTCCAGGGACTGATCCCTCCTGATAACACGTCCAAAGTATGTGAGACGTTGTCTTGCCATCTTTATTTCTAAGGAGCATTCTGGTTGTACTTCTTCCAAGACAGATTTGTTCATTCTTTTAACAGTCCATGGTGTATTCAATATTCTTTGCCAACACCATAATTCAAAGGCATTAATTCTTCTTTGGTCTTCCTTATTCATTGTCCAGATTTCACATGCATATGAGGTAATTGAAAACATCATGACTTGGGTCAGGCGTACCTTAGTCTTCAAGGTGACATCTTTGCTTTTCAATACTTTAAAGAGGTCTTTTGCAGCAGATTTGCCCAATGCAATATGTCTTTTGATTTCTTGACTGCTGCTTCCATGGGTGTTGATTGTGGGTCCAAGTAAAATGAAATCCTTGACAACTTCAATCTTTTCTTTGTTTATCATGATGTTGCTTATTGGTCTAGTTGTAAGGATTTTTGTTTTCTTTACATTGAGGTGTAAACCATACTGAAGTCTGTGGTCTTTGATCTTCATCAATAAGTGCTTCAAGTCCTCTTCACTTTCAGCAAGCACAGTTGTGTCAACAGCATAACACAGGTTGTTAATGAATTTTTCTCCAACTTTGGTGCCCTGTTCTTCTTTACAGAGTCCAGCTTCTCGATTTATTTGCTCAGCATACAGATTGAATAGGTATGGTGAAAGGATATTACCCTGATGCACACCTCTCCTGACTTAACCCATGCAGTATCCCCTTGTTCTGTTCCAAAGACTGCCTCTTGATCTATGTATGGTTTCCTCATGAGCACAATTAAGTGTTCTGGAATTCCCATTCTTTGCAATGTTATCCATACTTTGTTATGATCCACACAGTCGAATGCCTTCACATAGTCAATAAAACACAGGTAAACACCTTTGTGGTATTCTCTGCTTTCAGTCAGGACCCATCTGAAATCAGCAATGATATCCCTGGTTCCACGTCTTCTTCTGAATCCGGCTTGCATTTCTGGCAGTTTCCTGTCGCTATTCTGCTGTAGCTGCTTTTGAATGATCATCAGCAAAATTTTACTTGCATGTGATATTAATGATATTATTCGATAATTTCTGCTTTCATTTGGAACACCTTTCTTGGGAATAGGCATAAATATGTATCTCTTCCAGTTAGTTGGCCAGGTAGCTGTTCTCCAAATTTCTTGGCATAGACGAGTGAGCACTTCCGGTGCTGCATCCATTTGTTGAAACATCTCAGTTGATATTCCATCAATTCCTGGAGCCTTGTTTTTTGTCAATGCCTTCAGTGCAGCTTGGACTTCTTCCTTCAGTACCATCAGTTCCTGATCATATGCTACCTCCTGAAATGGTTGAATGTCAACCAATTCTTTTTGGTATAATGACTCTGTGTATTCCTTCCATCTTCTCTTGTTGCTTCCTGCATTGTTTAATATTTTCCCTATACAATCCTTCACTATTACAACTCAAGGCTTGAGTTTTTTCTTCAGTTCTTTCAGCTTGAGAAATGCTGAGCATGTTCCTCCCTTTTGGTTTTCTATCTCCAGCTCTTTGAACGTGGCATTATAATACTTAACTTTGTTTTATCGAGTCTCCCTTTGAAATCTTCTGTTCAGCTCTTTTACTTCATCATTTCATCCTTTTACTTTAGCTACTGAATTTTCACGAGTAGTCTTCAGAGTTTCTTCTGACATCCATTTTGGTCTTTTCTTTCTTTCCTGTCTTTTTAATGACCTCTTACTTTCTTCTTGTGTGATGTCCCTGATGTCATTCCACAACTCGTCTGGTCTTCGGTCATTAGTATTCAGCATGTCCAATATATTCTTGAGATGGTTTCTAATTTCAGGTGGGGTGTATGCAAGGTTGTACTTTGGCTCTCATGGACTTGCTCTAATTTTCTTCGGTTTCAACTTGAACTTGCATATGAGCATTTGGTGATCTGTTTGCAGTCAGCCCCCGGCCTTGTTCTGACTGATGATACTGAGCTTTTCCATCATCCTTTCCACAGGAGTAGTCGATTTGGGTCCTGTGTATTTCGTCTGGCGAGGTCCACATGGATAGTGGCCATTTATGTTGGTGAAAAAAGTTATTGGCAATGAAGAAGTCTTTGGTCTTGCAAAATTCTATCATGTGATCTCAGGCATTGTTTCTATCACCAAGGCCATATTTTCCAATTACCAATCCTTCTTTGTTTCCAACTTTTGCATTCCAATCACCAGTAATTATCAATGCATACTGATTGCATGTTCGATCAATTTCCGACTGCAGAAGTTGGTAAAAACCTTCAATTTCTTCATCTTTGGCCTTAATTGTTGGTGCATAAATTTGAATAATAGTCTTATTAACTAGTCTTTCTTGTAGGCATATGAATATTATCCTATCACTGACAGCGTTACTTCAGGATAGATCTTGAAATGTTCTCTTTGACGATGAACGCAATGCCATTCCTCTTCGAATTTGTCATTCCTGGCATAGTAGACCATATGATTATCCAATTCAAAATAGCCAATACCAGTCCATTTCAGCTCATTGATGCCTAGGATGTCGATGTTTATGCGTTCCATTTCATTTTGAAAATCATTAAAAATGAAATGGAACTGAGCATAGTGCATTTTATAATTTAGAGCTAGATTGTTATTAGCGGCCATATGGAGCATAGTGGAGCAGTGATTAATGTAATCTTGGGGAAGGGGCCAATCAAGAGAACAGAAAAGATGGAAATAACATAGAATTTTGGTTTCAGGTTCTCCATGATATCATTCAGTCAGTGTCAGTCATTTGCAGCCTATAACGTGATGTCAACATTTAATTGAGATGGTTTAGTATTGTAGCTATGTGTTCCTCACCCAAACCTCATAGAATATGAAAAACTCGTTTCAGCTGCCAGTATGCTTTGCAAGTCAGTGTGTCTTAGAGGTTTACTGAAAAACAATGAATCGACTTCTGTATTTCCCCCAAAATGTTCCCTTTTTTCCACTATTGATTTTCTTAGCCAATAGCTAAACTTTAATATTTTGATTATATTCCAACACATGTTCTCCTTCTAAAGCCTGACCTAATTTCCGTAAAGAAACATGCTAAGATAGAGAAATAAGGTACCTGGGGGATAAACAAACTGGGAAAAGAGAACTATGTGCCTGACTAGTGTCCAACACAGCCAGCTTCAGAGTCAAAGTCTGCACTTCCAAGTAGTGATTGTTTTAAGTTGA